GGGAAAATTTACTTTGCTGTATTAAATGCGGTGCTTTTAGTTGGAAGTTTGTGCCAGCTTGTGAATAGCACAGTTCAGCTAAATGCTGTCAGTGTGGGCTTTCACTGCAAGCAAGCTGGTGTTCTTTTTTAAACTTGCAATAGTATGTTCATGTAAAATGATTTCTTGTGCCAAATTATGAAGGTGACACTTAGCACAGTCCTGGTCACAATGAGCTCTGAAAGGCATGCTAGTAAAGCACACATTTTGATAAATCCATGGAGTATTTCCCATGCCTTTTCCCACTAGGAATCCTTCTGCAAAATGTTGTTTTCAGTCTTGAGTGAGAAGGAAGGAAAAGAAATCAGGAGCTCCATCAAAGAGATGAAAGAAAGAAGTCAGAATGACAAAGCAGACAAGGACAGATCCTGGGGGAAGACAGGTATACTCATTAATTGTATTTACATTTCAAAGATAAGTTAACTGCGGTGTTCTCAATCATACCCTACACTTGGGTTCCTTGCCACACACTGTGAATAATAAATACACTTTGAAGGATAGAATAAGTGACCCAATAGAGGCTCCTTCCACTTTTAATTTCATGGGTGATCTTAATTTCAGAGGTCAGTACAAATGCCTGTGGTAAGTGACAATTTTAGGCCAGTAATTACTAATTAAGACAGAAGGCAAGATGCTGGCTAAGGCACTTTCAAAGAGATCACAGATAACCTTGCAGGAGCTGATTAACTCAAACAGAACCTCCCTGGGTGATAGCTACCAAATGATACTTGGAACAATTTTTAAAATTAAAAAGGACGAGGGAAAAGGATTTATGAAACTCTGGGCTGAGTTTTCTCTGGAGGAAGGATTTTGATAATGAGTGGGATTAGCTGTTTGCAATTAGCAGACAATTAGAACAAAGACATTTACCTGGTGGGTGAAAATCTTCTATGATAAACTCACACTCATCAAACCTGCTCACACCAGGGAAGGATAAACAGTGCTGTGCTCACAGTGTCTTAGGTTTGGTGATAGGAGAAGCGCTGGCTGCTGCAATCATGTCAACTTCATGTGAACTGCGTGGGACTTGATGAGACAGTGCCTCCATGTGGCAAGCACACAACAAAGGACCCCAAGCTGTACTCGTGGATCCTGGGATGGCTGAGGATGGTTTCCCAGGGGTCCACAAAAGAACTTAGGATCAGCACAGCAACTGCCTGTGGAGAAAATGGAGAAATCTCTGACACTGGGGAATTTCTAGGGACCTGCAAATGAAGACACTGGCTTTATTAATATTAGTATCTGTAAAGGTGACCGTCATCAGTAGATGAGAGATAGTGTTGGATACTGGAAGCTTTTCTGCAAGTCCCTTGGACAGGTGAGGCCTCAAATCACCATCAGTTCAGACTGTAAGGAAGAGCTGAGATAGGCTGCTGCCTTTTGTCTTTCTTTCTCCAAGCTTAACAAGGAAGCTTTCTGCATGGCTCCTACCAGATAGGGATATGTAGCAGCACTGATTGGCTGAAAGTGGGGGAGTAGGGGATGAATCTGTCTGATTTTACTATTGTTTGTGCTCCTTTTTTCTATCCTCAGAACTTAAAGATTCCTAGGTAGGATCCACCTCTCCTAACTGAAGCATACAAGAATCAGTGTTTAAAGTTGAGCTCCTCTCTAAACTGCTTCCACAAGCAATGGAAAGAGACGAGCAGATGCTGAACATAAATTCTCTAACCCCAACAGCTCCTCAAGGTGTATTTCATGGTTTATCCTCTGAAGGAGCTATTTCTTGCCCTTAACTCGGAAGGCAATATGGAGCACCAAGCTAAACTTGCATACAGATCTACATTCTAGATGCCTGAATAAAGGCAGAAAAGTTGTACCTTTCTGTTCTAAAATCCAGCCCAGAACAGCAAAGAGCACAAGAGGAAGGCAAATTAGGACCAAGTACTGCTCAGGAGTGGGGAGCATTTCCCTGCTGTATCCCTTGGTGCAAGGTAGTGCCTACCCCAAGGACTACAAATGCAGATTGTGATGTAGAAATGAAGGAATAATATCAGTCCTGGTTTTGCTACAGGCATCTTGATCAAATGGGAATTTCAAGTAGAACTTATGGCTTTGTAACATTTTTGACAAGCATAAATGTGAGGAGGTATTAATACATGATCCTTCCAACCAAATACATGTTTTTACTTTCTTTCCCTGCATAGTCAGGGCCCTGTTCTGGGGCAGCTTCATTTGCAACAGGCACCCTCCAGATGCAATCAGTATGAGTGGAAGTCATCCCGTATGGAAGCAGGTCTAACCTATGTTTTAGGCAGCGCTTGGCTACACAAGAAGTGGGCCTTTGCAGTTTGTTTCATTCAAAACAGGAACATTAACTCCTTGCTGAAGGGGAGGGTTGCTTTTAAAGCCCCTGACAGCTGTCCAGAAATTAGAATTCCTTCCAGTTAGGCTACTACTGTCCCTGTGACATGGATCTTGCCTCATGCAGAGCAGGCAGTTGGGGGCATCAGTACTAGGGGAAATCTAGTGGTCACTCATTTCACTCTAGGGAAGAACTGGCCAATGATGAACACTTTTCATTCAGGGAAGGCTGAAGCAAGCTAAAACCTTCCAACGGGACCAGCCAGGTTCAGTTAAAATACCTGTGTTTTTTTCCAGAAGAACTGAACACCAGGAGTTCTTGAGGGCAAGGACTGTCAGCCACAATTGAAGGCACTTTTCTAGTGCATTGTGTGGGCTAACAGCCTGTTGAATGGTAGGATCAGATGTGATGGAGAGGCTCAGGGAGGTTGTGCTGCTGCTGCTTAGCACAACCTGAAGTTGCGCTGAAAAACAGGGAGATACTGTCAAGTCCTCCTGGCAATGGAACAAGTGTACAAAATGAAAGGAAGAGTGTCATCAGAGCTGAACAGCAGCGACATTTTGTGACTGAAAATTATTTTACTCACTTGCACAATACTAACATTTAAGAGACAAAAATAAGCACTCTAGAGGCAGGCGTTACAGACGGAAGAGACTGATTATCCCCTCTGGCTTTTCCACCTGAGAATACAAGATGTACTATGATACCGCTGATGTGAACTCCATGGGAGGAAGTAAAGGAAATGTGATTACAGATATTATATCCAAATTGAATTAAAGGTGAATTAAAAAAAAAACAGATTACTGCATGTTTCCATGCTATGTTTGAAGCATCTGCTACTAACAGACATAAAAAGAACATGCAGGGGCTTATTTCTCAGAAAACAAGATTGATCCCTGACTTGCTGATTCACAAGTCCACAGAAAAAAAGGGCAGGAAGTAAAATTATGGATGAACCTCCACAGACAGAAAAGTCATCAGCAAAGCAGCCATGTTTGTGATCTTTGTGTTTCTTCTAAATATATACTCTACATTGCAAACTTAAGCAAAGTTGATTACTTTAGTTTCTCTATCAAAATCAGATAAGGAATCTGATCTTCTTTGCAAAAGGTGAATCTGAACTTAAAAGCATTACTATTTCATTATGATGTTAAAAAACATTTTCTTCGTTGACTAGTGGTCACTAAAATACTTTTCTGTTGTATGCTCATTCACTGTACAGGTTTAAATGAGTTCTTTAATCATTCAGACTTCTAGTCTTGCTGACAGGGAGAAAGCAATTCGTAAGCTGGTTTATCATATTTATATATGCTGTATCCCTAAGCATACATGTCAAACTCACTTTTAAAACTATGTTTTTGGGGGGTCAGGTAGTGGCATATAGGGAGGCAAATATCTTGGCTTTCTTGGCAGTGACTGCTACAAGGCAATGAAAATGATCTATAGACTATGACGGTGTTATGAGTTACTGCCTCTTCCATGAGGGCTCTGTACATCTAGTAATTCTCTTGATAAAGACTGTCTCGTATGACTGGAAGTATCATATAGGCTGGCAAAGTGGACTGTAATAAAATAGTGCATTGTTCAACTACTTCACATGTTATGCTACGTCAAGTGGCAGAGTACAATAAATTTTAAAATAAAAAGCTGGCATGAATTCTTATATAGTAATAAATGAATGACAAAGACTTTAAATGCACACATTAAAAGAAATCCAGCAATCACCTTCCAAATGTATTTTACCTATTTTCAAGCAACAAAGCACAGCTAGCAGCTGTTTATGAAAAGGGATTAGTGTGATAAAACGTGCTCAGTCTGAAATGATAACTCCAGAAAAAAATTTCAATAGCGATGTATTTTAACAACAAAATCAAAGAAAACAGTCACTGAACCTGAGAGTTTCAAAGCTGTCTTCTCCCCGTATATCTCCTCTCGTCCCCAAAATAAACCTAAGGCTATAAAAAGCATCAGGAGATATTTTCAAAGGTGCTGAGCTTTCAAAAGGAAGAAAGCCTCTAAGTTTTCCCTGTGCATTTCAGTAAGGATGTTTCCCCTAGATCTTGCACATTTCAGTTTTTCCTGTGATCCTGCTCCAATTGGCATGGTCAAAGTATGAATGTGTAATCCATAGCTCAGGAATATGGTGCTCTATTAGCTCAACAAACTGCCTTTCTTAAAAACATAGTATTACCTCATCCACGCCCCACCAGGACCCATTTTCTGTCTGCTTGGTGGGGCCAGGGCACAATCATCATTGACTGTTTCCTGCAGAGAAGAGCCCTCTCTGCTTTTGTTCTGAGGTTGGCAGAAAGCTCCTTGTTTTGGATGGTGGTCTATTTTAAGTGGTTGTCTGACAGCTAATTCTTTCTGATGTGAAATCAGGTCAGGTAAATACACTCTTTCTGCTGTAACCATGAAGAGTAACTGCAGCCATAGGGAGCTGTGTAGTTGCATGCCCTAATTCTGAATAGCAACTGCTGAAAGCCTTTGAGCAGCGTGGTGACATGGGCAGCACAGGTTTAACAGCCACTTCAAAAGCTGTTGTGTTTTTAACACTCAGTTTGCAATGTAGAAAAAAGAAGCATATTTTGGAAAGGAACACTCTGTTTTTTAGCTTTTTCTCTCTTCATTCAGCTGAAAGCTGTAATTGCAGTAACTAATGAGTTGGTTTTGGTGCCACTGATTGATTGTCCAAATCTAATACTGAATCAAGTGATCTTGAGAACAGAGGCCATCTCAGAGATTTCTCTAACACTGTGCATGGTGCTTTTTTCTCCCTTCCACAGGATGAGCTCTTTGCTGTCCTGTGTACCTCTGAAGTCCCATCCAACTTATGATGGGGCTGCTTCAAAGCCAGATCTTTGTCCTTGTGAAGAATTGATTTTTGTACTCCACGTGAGCAAGGCTTATCCGAGGAGCAGGAAGGAGTTGAAGTATTCCAAGGAACAAAGACATCTTGCTTTTCAAATCTCCATTTTTGCTCCATTGCCCACACATACATCATTATCTGGCTTCCTACTCTCAAGATGTGAGCCATCTCTTTTATTGCTTGCATGTGCCTCTCTTCTGTTGAAAAATGGTGAATTATTAGAACAGAACAGATAAGGTGAATAAGTATCCCTCAAGGCACTAATGAATACAGAGTATAAGGGCAGGGACTGGCTCTGACACACTGGCAGACAGTGGTTTGCACCACAGGAATACATAATTTATCTTCCATTGTGCTACGTTTTATTGTGCGATCTATCTCTAACATATCTAAAATTGTACTATCTCTAACTTTAAAAGAGTTCATAACACAGGGACTTATTTTAAAAATACAGCGGAATTTAGAAATGTTGAAACAAATGACATCTCTCAGATTGGCAATAAAAAATGCATCAGTCCTGTTTTCTCAATGCAAAGCTACCACTTTTTTTGTGGCAAAGCAATCTGGCCCTTTTCTAACCTCCCCAGATGCTCATCTGCAGCCTGAATGAAGAACTTCTGAAAGACTGAGGCCATACATAGTCCTTGCAACAGTCATGCTAGGGATCCTGCTGATGACATCTGTTTAAAAAAAGGGTTAGGTTAAAACTGCCTGCCTATTTCTCCTCCTTTAATGACACATGTCAGTAATAGAGCAGAAAAAGTGAACAGTCACCATCAGCCTACTATACATTTAAATCATCAAAATATGGGTGAAAGACAGTCAACTAGCACTTGTCTACTTTTGCCATTAACAGCATATATCATAAAACCAGATAATTAGATAATCCCACTCTTGCTTGATAACCCCCCATACCACAAAAACATGCATGACATGGACAAGACTTCATCATTACAATGGTGAAACTCAAGCAGCAGTTTTGTTTGAGTCAGAACTGAGTTTAAATTTAACTCACTTTTCAGTAAAAATATTTGCCCCCAAAAGGGCAACTGGTCTCAGGTTTTGGCAGGAGTTTGCCAAACAGCAGCTCTGCAGGTTGGCTCCTGCTCTCAGACTGCACAGCTCTAGAGCAACTCACAGCAGATGTCGAGGTTGATTATGTCTTGGTGCACAGCAGGGACTTCAGCAAAGTTTCAGCTACATCAAATGAGTTTTACATGAGAAATAATAATCGGAAACAATCCTAGAATAGTGCTGGAAAGGGCACATATTAAATACTCTGAAAATTGAAAGCAATTGAATTAGTGATACTTATCCAACCTGGTATTTTCCTCAATGAAAATGCCTGTGACACTTAGGACAGATACTTCTACACATACCCCTTCAGATTACAAAAACAGTGTTTTTTGGTTAAGATGTTGAGGTGTTGGTTTCCACAGAAAAAGAACAGATCTTTCAAGATCTGTTGTATTTGTAGCAATAGGAAAGGGGTAATGGCTTTAAACTTAAAGGAGGGGAAGTTCAGGTTAGATACAGGGAAGAAGCTCTTTACTGTGAGGGTGGTGAAGCACTGGAATGGGTTGCACAAGGAAGTCGAGAATGCTTCATCTCTGGTGGCATCCAAGGCCAGGTTGGACAGAGCCTTGGGCAACATGGTTTAGTGTGAGGTGTCCCTGCTCATGGCAGGAGGGTTGGATGATCTCAAGGTCCTTTCCAACCCAAACCAGCCTGTGACTGTGTGATTCTAAGATTAAAAAGAAAAAAAAAAAAGAGATACAAGTTTTTTATTCTTTATAGAAATGTAAGTACAGAAAATGCTAGCAGACACTCTGTATGTGCAGCCTCTGTGCCTGTCAGGGCAGCCATTCACCATCAGACCCATTCTGCCTCAGAAAAAGAGACACATTACAATTAAAAGAATAACAGCATGCAATCCAGCTGATATAGGAAAACAGTCTCCCTGCAATGAATGATGCATTCAGAGCTTCAGTGGCAATGTGAGGATCAAAAGGCAAGCTTTGAAGAGACAGGGTCTTTTAACATTCAGGTATTCAGCTGCTCTGCTTGTAGGTTTCACTTGTTTGAGATGAGCAGAAATCAATTTCAAAAGCCCAGGTCTCCCAGAAGTAGTCGAGGTTGACATTGAAACATTATGCCTTTTTAATTAAAAGGGCATCAAGTATCATTTAAGTAATTAGAGTGTATCAATAAAATCTCACCCTGAGCAAAACTTTAGTGTCATTGAAATAAATTTGTCAGATAATTAAAGAAGCTATGGGTGATGGATTCCATTTAAAAATGCATAACTCAAGAAAACAAAGCATCTGTGTGGGGCAACATTAGACTATCCTGAAATCACAGTTTATCACATGAATTATTGCACATGATCATTTTAAATACAGGCCAAACCTGTCAGGCTCCAAGATCACCATGCTGCCATGTCCACCTAAAGCAGGAGGCTTATAAAACCTCCATTTCTCTATTATCCTTGGCATTAAATTCCTTGCATGTTGAAACTGTTTAAACCGAGCAAGCTGTACTGAGCAGTAAAGGTGCTGTTTCAGAGATGGAGTGGCTCATGTTAGCTTGCAGTGAGGCACAAACACTCACTGAGAGCCTGACTGCAGCCCAGCAACAACATGAGCCTGTTTCCCTCCCCTCTAGTGGAAATGGTTCAGATCTGCTTCTACTGCAGCTCCTCTCATGCTGATGAGTAGATGGCAATGGAGTCAATATTTCATAGAATTATAGGATGGCTTGGGTTGGAAGGGCCCTTCAAAGATCTAGTCCAACCTTTCTGCCATTGGCAGGGACACCTTCCGCTAGATTGGGTTGTCAAAGCCCCATGCAACCTGCCTTTGAACAATTCCAATGATGGGGCATTCCCAACTTCTCAGGGCAACCTGTACTAATGTCCAGCAACCCTCATAGTAAAGAACTGCTTCCTTACATCTAGTCTAAATCTACCCCCTTTCAGTTTTAAACTATTGTCCCTGTCCTGTCACTACAGACTCTTGTAAGAAGCCTCTCTCCACCTTTCCTACAAACATCCTTTAAGTACTGAAATATCTCATAATGTTTCCCTGGAGTCCTTCCAGAGGGGTGACTCAAGGCTACACCCCTAGAACAATTTTCACCAGCTCCTCAACATGTTTTATGGTGATTTCCCACCATCCACACAGTATAAAACAAAGGTCCAGATGCTTAAAAGTGCATTTGGTGTAATGAATGGTACTTCAAATGAAAATTAATTTTGTTCTAAATTACAGTATGTACAGAAGCTTGCAGGTGGCAAAAACCGTATCAGGGCAGAAGAAAATCATCCTGGGTAAGAGCAAACATCCCTCCAGCATGGGACTGTGGCAGCAGTCAGCACCAAATGGTCAGGAAAGCAGAAAAGATAGTGATGCTCTCTCCCCTTGCTTCCTGAGGTCAGCAGCTTAATAGCTTCCTCAGACACAGGCCAGAGCTTGTATCTAATAGCCAGTCATAGATCTGTCCTCTACGGATACCTTCTTGGGACTCACTTGTACTTCTGGTTACACAAATTCACATGTCAAAGGAATCTGCAATTTATATATTAAAAAAACCCAAACAAAACAATAGTTCCTTCTGTTTTAAATCTTTCCTTTTGGTTCTTCTGCTGTAATAAAATACAGAAATTTGCTCCCTATTAACTAATTGAATATTCCATGATGCCACCTCCCTTTTCCTTAGGAGCAGTTTGATGTATACACTTTTCTCATGATACTTTTATGATACTCCTTTTTCTTAGGTGACGAGCCATAACCCAATAGTCTATCCTCATACATAAACAGTTAGCATCTTGGATCTTTACAAGGACCATTACTAGGTCACCTGTATCCTTCCAGAAAAACTGAACTTCATGCAGTGCTCAAGATATGGAGGCATCAAGTACTTATCTTCATCACTCTTCTGGATTTTCATTTTTGTTCTTAATATTTGAATACTTTGTTGACTAGATTTAAACATTGAGCTAATATTTTTCAGGGCAATGAAAGTGAGTTTGGTAATGACTTCAGTATCTATCTCTTTCCAGAACAAGAACAGAAGGTGCCACTGTGCCTGCGCGCTTGTTTTTTTCTATGCACATTACCTGGCATTTACCCACAAGTAGTTTTCTGCAATTTTGCACCAAGTCACTAGTTTCACATTAGACTTTTTTTGCAACTCTCTGTAGTCAGTAACCCTGAATAACTCTGTGCCATCAGCAAACTTTGTCACTAGCTTATTCATTTAATTTGCAATTATAAATTACATAGGAACCTGTTAAACAGCCATTGAACATTGAACGCTAAGCATTCAAAATTGAGCCTTTCAGCACTTTTCACACTTGTCTACTAGCATTTTACCCTGTTGGTTTTCCCTTTCAATTTTCCTTAAGAGTTTTTTCCTTTTTGGTTGTAAAATTTTATGCAGTGGATTTTATTTTTTTTTATAAACATTTTTGTTCCTATCAGGTGGTTTGATTACAGTCACATTAAATTCAGTGAGAGAATGTGGTTCTTGCACAATTACTTATTGATGTGGGCCTGATGCACCATTTCAGACTAATGAGATTTGTTTCCCTTTTGTGGGTTCTCAGATTAATCTTTCCAAGAGGCTTTGTGCCCCTGTGTATCATTTACACAATCTACGTATGGGCAGTTATGGTTTCTCAATATTGTGTTTTCTGCCCTCACAGCACTCGCTATCTCTTCTAATAATCTCTGATCATTTCCCCCAAATTTATGAGACAGTTAGCTATGCTTTCTTATTATTACACTGCTCTCCTCTGTAGCTGCCTACATACTGTCATTTCTTCCAGAAGTATTTCCTCATGCCTTTTCCCACAGAATAATATTAAGATCTTTTTCTGTGGTTTAAACCCAGATGGCAACTCAGCACCTTGCAGCTACTTGCTCAGTGCCCCCCTTCCCTTCCCACCCTGAGTGGGATGGGGAGTAGAATCGGAAGCAGGTAAAACCCACGGATTGAGATAAGAACAGTTCAATAATTGAAATTAAGTATAATGACAATGGAAATAATACTAACAATAATAGTACTGATAGTAGAGAACAACAAAAAAGAGGAAATTAAAATTCGGAAAACACATGTGGTGCACAATACAACTGCTTACCACCCAGTGACAAATGTGCAGCTCATCCCTGAGCAGCAATCCATCCCTTCTGGGTAACTCCCCAGTTTATAGAACCAC